TTTAAAGATAGAGTTTTCAACGCATGTATGTCCCTGAATTGCCTATACATAGCGCCGTCATATAAATATGTAGTGTATGCACAGCAGTGAGCAACTGTACGTATAATATCAAAGCAAGTATAGTTTACTAGGTTAACAAATATTAATATAATTTTAACCATATTGACAGATTCGTCAGATGATTAAATTAGTTTGGGAAGAGTTTCCCCGTGTTCTTGTATTTATATATACAATATTATTACGGGCAATGGTGGCTATCGAGCAGTGTCGATAAAATCGATACATTGGCTGCTCTTTATGCATACTTCTTCCCGGTTATTTCGGACAGCTTTTTAAATTACTAAATTGCCCTTGTAGAGTAATATGTTTTCCAGTCAATATATACTTTTTCAGCAGTAAATTGGGCGTTGTATCTTTAGTTATATAATATATATTTATATAAAAAAAGAATAATGAAAACAAATAATTTGCATTTGATTTAATTGCCGACTTTAAAACCATATAATGTTTTCCATCAATCAATTTAGTATATATTCACTGGCTTTACTCACTTGTTGTATAAAGTTATAGTATACAGCCACCACCCCCCGACCGGGCATGGCAGAAACCTACGGGTGCCCAATCGAAATTCTGCCAAACACAAAACACACGTGTAAAAAAAACCTACCGAACCAAACCCTACAACTACCAAAATTAACCGAAAAACAGTTAAGGGCCATAGTCCCCAGGCTCAAGGATCGATAAAAAAATAAATAAAATAATTTAAAATTGTAATAAATAGTATATGTAAACCATAGTTCACTTTATCTGTTTGTATTTCAAACACACGTAGGTACCATTATTAAACTGCCGATATTGTCTCGTCAACTGTCGCCAGTTCAAGATTATTTCTCCTGAAAAATGAATGGTATGGCTTATCAAAATATCTGTAGTTAATTGTTAATTTAATAGTTATCAATTATCATAAACGATAAACATATTAGATCGGTAAATTAGTTTTATTTTTTAAGATATGTTGAGTTTATACTAGTAAATTATGAAATAAATATATTGTTCAATTATTAAATTATTATACTAAAACCTATATACGGAACGTGTTAGTTGTCATTTCTATTTTTTGCAGTATAATGAAGAATCCCGTAAAAGTATGTCCATCGTATGAACTCAATTATAACGGAAGAGTAATATTAAAAAAATGTAAAACATTAATTTCATCATAGTACGTTTTTGACTAAAACTATAAGGCGTATCATAATATAAATAAGTATATTGGATTAAGCAAAACAAAAATAAACAATTGTGCTTAAAGTTTCCCGAGTTAGTCCGAGCAATCCTGTATAGGTATGTACAGTCTGGGAAATGTACGATTTCATCCTACACCGCCCATCAAAGTACGTACCATAATGTTCGGGAAAGAAGAACACATTGGCCGATAATCCACTTTTCCTGTAACATTTGCGTTAATAGCTCCGCGAGAAAACACACAATGGTCCACCTCGTAGAAGACATGTGCGATAAGCCATCATTACGGCACTTGGGGCCGTAATGTTACAGTTATACACCTTAGCGCTTAGTATTCTCAAGTGAGCGGCTAGAAAATTGCAGTCCGTCGCCGAAGATCATTTATTTGTTGTTATTATTATTGTTATAAGCGGACCGAAGTCCTATCAAACATATTATTATATTAGGTATAATCAACATAGAGTTGCTATATTGCCTCGCGACTAGTATACAACAAGTCGAGGGTAATAAATGATAATTTAAAAGAATAAATGCAAATTATTACAAAGCATAGGTATTAAATATTCGCACGTTGTATGATAATTATGTAAATTATCGTTATTCTTGGAAGAAAACAAAGTGGATTTCCCATCTGAGACTGCAGCGGGACGGGACTGAAGCCACAGGGGGGAGGAAATCGTCCGTAAACGTCGTAGATACTTATATATTATAGTTTATACAGGGTGCTTAACTCTAAGTTTATGTTCACTCTATTTTAGATTCTGAGCGATGAGTGTATTGATTTCACAATGATGTATTTTTTTGAAAATTTAAAATAAGGTTCTACGAAAGTATTTTATTTTGTAACCAAAAAATCTAAAATAAACATAAACACAGATTTTTTATAGTTATTTAAGTTTAAATTTAGACGAAATTACACATTAACACAAAGAATAACGTTTTAGTCATTTTGTTGTAATTCGGTTCCATAACAACCCAACTTTACTTAAGTAAATGTATAATATTTTTCCAGCACCACTAATAATTTAAGAATAATATTAATTCAATTTATCGGCTATTGTATTATTAATAAGTAATAACAATATAAAATATCCTAGACTGACATTCCGTCTCCGCTCAGTATCGCTTTTCGTATATAATGATATTATATCATTGAATTCAAATTTGATACCATCCATTACAGCGACCTTGTAGATACTTAATGCACAGCAGAGCGAAAACCACTTATTCGTTTTTTTATTTCCATTAAAAAGGAATTTTTTCAAATTCTGACTTTTGACATTCTTAAAATTAAATAATTATCATAATTAAAGAGTATATTTTAAAATTCTTGAGATTTTTTTGTAAAACTGAAGAAGTGTCCTGCGACGATACAAACTTTTGTTTTTCAAAAGACAACTCTCTTTTTTAGCGTAAATTATTAGTGGATAATTTTAACGAGAAGTTTCTCAGTTATCAAGATGTACTTAAGAAAAAAGGTCTTTAAAAATGTTTAAATATCAAATGGATGTTATATTGTACATATTATTTACTATACATGTGCACATATATTAGTTCTTACAAACTATTCAATTTTAAATTTTTAAATTACCCAAGTGCCCAAGTCCCATATCTTCCAAACTCATGATCATGAACCTATTATCTTTGGTGTACAAATGGTTAAATAACTCAAAACTACTCGTTCGAATTTGGATTTAGAAATGACAAATTGTTCAGAAAAAATATTCGCTTAATTATATATACGATAAAAAAAATGAGGGTAGGGTTCTAATTTTAAACATGTCACATCTTCACAGGACGCTATTTTTAAATATCTAGTACAAAATATGTCAAGTATTTGAAAACTTGATCTTTATTATAAGTGAGTATTTATTTAAAAAGATCATATTTCGAATGACTTTCGCATAATTCGAGACGAGAAAAAAGGGGGTGTGCGCGATCGGGTGAATCATCCTGTACACATAGGTACGCCGTGATAATAATAATAATAATAATAATAATATAATAATGTTATATTTTACACCGGCGACTAAACTAGCTATGATGGCGGCGGTGGTGGCATCGTCCCGTCCCGCGCAAGACCGCACGCCGCCGCCGACGATAAATTACCGTCGTTATACGCATAGATCACGGCGCGACCACGTCCGCGTCCCGCCACGTAACTCCGGCCGGGCGCGGGTCATTACGGACTGGAAATACGCACGTTGTAGTATTATTGTGCGACGGTGGCGGCGACTACACAACACGGGCCTTGTTGTTCCACGGCCGCCGCCTCCGAAAGTGGGACATCGATTTTCTTCGCGTCGGATACGGTCGCACGCATACAGACCCACACACACGCACGCACACACACACACACACACACATATGCGCCGCCCGGCGCCAGCTGTGTATAAAATGCGATTGGTCGCGGTTGCCGCCCGCCGCCACCGCGGGATGAAGTGTGCGTGAGAGCAGTCGGACGGAGACGCTCGCGGCAAAGGGTCGAAAAAGGAGTACATATATATGTATATAAATATTATGTGTGTGTGTGTGTGTGTGTGTGTGTGTGTGTGTGTGTAGTTTCGCGGAGGAACGCTGGCGAGATGACGACGTCCGGGAAGGGTTGCGAGGGCGGATGGTCGGCAAGGCGATGTGTACAAATGGGGTAGTTTTCCGTTTTTTTTTTCTTTTTACCTCCCCATCTCCGTCGTGTCGTTTGTTTTTGTATACATACATACAACATATATTATATAAACCTATATATGCACACCCGTGTGACAGACCGACTGAGCGTATACTTTGATCGGAAGAGAGAGAGAGAGAGAGAGAGAGAGAGAAGGAGAAATTTCGAGAGAGGGAGAGATAGAGGGTCGGAGAGAAAACACACACAAAATACCAACAAAGGTTGTGTACAGGAGAACACACACGAGAAATGTGCATAATATAATGGGTACACATACAAGAGGGTAAAATTCATAATGTGGGTGCGTGTTTTTGATATACATCGATCGTCCATCGACGTTTTCACGCGACCTTGAACCGAAAAAACTACGTTTTCTTAACGTTTTTCGTCCACGTTCACGCACATAAAATATGCAACTATATATTGATGTATATTATGACACCAAAACGCATCATCACGGGCACAATAATATAAATATCTAGAACAGTAATATTTCATTTTATATGTTTGGTGGCCGTGGTATAATAGCATTATAATTGCACACATAACACGTGAACAGTTGGTATATTTGTGTGTGTGTGTGTTTCTGTAAGTTATGTAAATATGCATGTATAGATCAAACGGTTTTTTTTTTTTTAAGTCGATACGGTCGCAACAACGTGTGTGTGTTTGCGTAGCTAATAAATTGATTTGGCTGAGGCGACGTCGTCATTGTCGGAGTCGTCGTCGTCGTCGTCGTCGTCGTAGTCGTCTAGGACTGCGCTTGCGCGTGGGCGGCAACCCAGATTTTTCGGCGCGGTCGGGAGGGCTCGAGACTCTCGACGTTCCTTCCACCCGCGGCGACCCCCTTCCGCCATTCGACTGTTCCACTGCCACCGCCGCTGAAGGACGTGCAGCATGAGCAGCAAGAGCAGCAGCGCAGCAAAAGCGGGCAGCGCAGCGTCAACGGCAACGGCGGCGGCACTGGTACGGCGAGAGCGAGAAGAGGACGGGGACGGGGTGAACGGGAGTGGGTCGCCGAAGAGGTGCTGTAGCAGCAGCGGCGGTGTACCGTTGTCGACGGGGCGGGTATACGCGGTGGAAGAGGCGCGACGATGGTGGCGTCGGCGTCGGCGTCGTCGGTGACGGCGGCAGCAGCGGCGGCGGCGGTGGCGGTGGCGCTGGCAGTGATAACCGCGGCGGCCGACAGACTACGATGCGCCCGGCTCCCGGCCGCAGGCAACAAGTGCCCCGTCAAGTCCGACCCTGAATACAGGTATGATAATAATATCGTAATATAATAATAGCAATAATGATAATGATAGGCAACGAAATAGCTGATAATTATTGATAATAATATGATGATGGCCCATCGCTCGATATTTTTATCGACAAAAAGCTTACCTAGGTACTGATATTTATAATGCACGTGCGTTCATAGTAAATATTCGTAATAAATAAATATTTATTGCACACGTCAGTTTAACAGAGCTTATAATTATAGTATGAGTAATGATAATATTATGTAATTTAATACACTGCTATACTATGTAGTAATATTATATGTTGTATGGCTTGATGTACTGTCGATTTAAATAGGTAGCGATAACAGGAAAAGAATAGTCGATAAGGACGTTGTAATAATTATATTGATTTAGTTGATAAACAGTTCTATAATTTATAATATTACGATATAAAAAAAATAAACTAATAAACGAGGACTACGATCGTTTTATTAAAATTACAGTAATCTTATTATTATACGATGATTAATATTTGTTTTTGTTATTATTAATATACATATCATACCTAATAATATAAATAATGACTATTTACTAAAATATGATCAATTACCATTATAATATACAAGTGGCGAATACGTTACAATATTCTCAAAAAGATATTTATTATGAAACGCCATGGACTTCAATATTCTTAAATTGAACTTGGGTGTCGGAAATTGTTTTGTTGGCAGTGTTTTTTAATTTGTATGTGCATTGCACTTTTGCCTTTTTGTCGGGCCGAGGAACTGATTTCAATGGCGTCATCTGCAATTAATTATGTGTTGTAATACTAAGATGGATTTGAATAATTATGTACGAACAATTTGTACTCAAAGCTTAAAAAGTCAAAACATTTAAATTGGTTGCTTTAATACAATTGTTGGAGATGACGTAAGTCTTTTTAACAGCTTTTAATTTGTACACACTTAATGTGCAGTTTATTTAGAAGAGCCACATTATAAATTGTGATAAAATAATTTTCAAACAACTAATGGGGTAGTCGCGATAACAGAATATTGTGACATCGGTGGTGTCATCTGCAAAATTAGGCATTTGATATAATAAATGAGTACTTCAATTTATAGTACCATCTATTTTTAATATTTATCAATAATACGTGAAATAAATAAATTATTGTTTAATCATATGATACACTAATAATGGAATCTAATAGAGAAACATCATCTCTGCTGCAATTATACGCATTATTAGCATTTAAATAAAAATTAATTATTTCATATTTATATTTTATGTACTTACAGTGACGTACTCAATATTTTAATACTGTGGGTCAGTCCAACTCACGAGAGGCCACTCTTGGAATCTTGTGGCATCAACCTAACCCACTATAGTAATGTAGGGACTATAGAGAGAAAACCACTCTCCATTTCGCCAATTATTTATATCATATTTCGATACCAAAATATTAATTTCTTATACATACTTAAGTTAACTCAATTATGTACCTATTTATAAAAACAGTATTATAAGATTTAATTGTTTTCCAAGCCGATATTAATAATTTTTAGTCAAATATATTTTCCTCTTATAATTAGCAGGCCATTTGGGACTTGGGTTACCTATATTTATTATTAATGTAAATTAATGTACGAAAATATAAACCTCTTAAGAAGACGTCGTTTCCGTCTTACTAACTCATAACATACCAAATTTTATGTTCAGAATAATCTATTTTACTCAGCTGTTTTTAAAATTAGAGTGAATTAATCTATTGCCAAATTCAAAGGTAATAGATACTATCTGCGCCCCCCGTCCCACGTCAACTAGTTCTGATATTTTAATTTTGAACCAAGTTATGAGCCTTTTAAAATTGTAAATGGGTACCTACATTTCATTGTTTTTTAATATTTAAAATATTCTTTATACGATAGAAAACAATATTGTAAAGTTTCGAAAGTATTGCACACAGTTTTTAAATGATAATTATTATGTCAGCTGACCTCGAAACCCACGCTTGAGATTTCCTCCAACGTACCTGCGTAAAATTGTATGATTGAAGTAAATCATTTTTACACTTTTAAAAATTTAAATATAAATTAGTTAAATATTACTTAGTTATTTCGTACACATTTTCACGAGCTTACGTAATATTATGATCTTTTGTAGGAAGTCTACGTGTTTATTACGTTTATGTTAGACTAGATATTTATTATAGTTCAATAGTACTTTGATAATTCCGTTTATATTCAGTTGTCTTAATTATTTTTTTTATTTGTATCATTATAAAATATTACAACTCGACGGTTATTTACATGGTATTTTAATATAATTTTCTTAACACCTTATGACCCACTTGTTTTTCTAAATTCAGAGGCAAATGGTTGCCTTTAAATTTACCTACTTGTTTACTAGAGTCAGTAGAGTAGGAACATGATTTTTGGCTTCACATTTCACGGCAACTTCTTTGTTGTAAATGACTCTCAACTACTATGTGCCCCTAACTGAAATATAAAATCGATGGTAAGGACGTTTCTAACATTTTTTTTTCGATAAACTAGATCATATTCTTGACATAATCAAATTTCAGATTGAAAGTACCTAAGCGTTAATTCGGACTATGTGGTCGGATTGATGTGGTCCAACCACATCTTGGATTATTTGTTTGATGTTTCTGTGCGGTGTTCAACAAAAACTGATCACTGAAACTTCTACATTATCATTTATCAATGTATATAAAATGTTTTGACAGGAATTATATTTCGTTTACGTCAACAGGAATTTTGAAACTAAAATATTCAGTTAAATTAAATCAATAATAAACCCCTGACAAGACACATTTTAACATTATTACGTAGTTACTTAGTTCTTGTCACTCATCTCGGCGCACGACAGTGGTTAGGACTTAAGAGTGATAATCGCGCTTAAACACCCACTCTGCCATGTTTCCTGAAATCTCTTCGGCAGTTATTGGTAGTTTTTACTTACTTATTACTCGCTTATTTCCAGTAGATAGTCTCTACTGAAATAAATTACTTCTTAAAAGTACCAACTATATTGACTCTATTACCGATCAATAGACAAAAGCTATTGAAACTTTTAGAGCAGTCTTTCTACTTTAAATTATGAGCAAGTGGAAAATAAAATCATTTAAACATCAACTCGATCCCTGCATTGCCAAAAATCTAAGACCCGAAATTTTTTTTGCTATTGGACGAATAAGAACAATAACGAGTGTGTGTGGTATTTATTTTCAAAATTGTAATTATTTTAATCTTACAATTTCCTTTTAGTATTGTAGATTTATTATTTTCGATCTTATTTGTATACGTGTTAATATATTTCGGATTATATTTCCGAAAAAAAATGCATGGACAAAATCTGATAACTTATAATAAAATATACTACCTATCCACTATTATTGCATTCATTAAAAGCACTTATTACTTGCTTAAAATCTGGTAATTTTAAATTATTATTAACAAACTATTATATTTTATGCAAATAGCTTATTTTTTTTTAGCCTTTATAAAAAATTTAGCTCAACAATTAAAGTAGTATCTTACAGCTAAACAAAATAAAATAAGCACAATTGGCTTATTAGAGTATATTCATTGAAATGTTCGTTAAAACATTATAATATAAATGCATACACATATGGCATATATTGTTTAAAGAGGTACTTGAAATTAACTGACACGTCATAACCAAGCGTTCTCACTTAATTTATAGCAATTCAATTTCCAAATGTACGTTTCATTAATTTTTGTAATTTTTATGATTATTTTTATTTTTTTAAATAAATAAAAAATACATTGAACCATAATTGTATTAATTTAGCTTCAACATTTTCAGTAATTTGTATTCACATTAGTCGAAAAATAATAACACAAGTTTACCCAAATATTGTATAGGTTCTCTAAAGAAACCTCGGTTAAGTTTGGGCATTAATTAAACTACCTATAAGTTACACAGGCAAATTATGTAAAGTACAAAATATTGCAAAGACTATAAGAAATGTATAGAAGCTTAGAGAAATTCTGATGAGATGATAAGCTTTTAATAATGAAAACTACAATTTAATAATACATAATTTTATAATTTTACTATTTATTGTGTTGTAAAGTATTTGAGGAAAAGTATTAAAGTACATACATTTTTTGGTTATCGAATACTTTGATGGTATTTTGAATGAATTCTTATTTTTTTTTTTTTGAATTCTTAACGCATTCATCTTGGATCATGCATAGTCTGGTCATTGGGTCATACTGATGATTGTTTGTTAAATTGTTGTTTTTAAACACTTGATAATGTATTTAATATTTATGTAGTAAGGACAGACTACAGTGTTAAATGAGTATTATTTATTTGTGTTATTAAATAAGGTTTAAGTTAAAAAATAATCCTAAACTTTCGTTTTATAGGTACGACTAGTTCTAATATTATTTTGAAATAAGTTCTTGATGTTGGCTATTATCATATTATAATATATAAACAATACATAATAAATAATATCGTAGTTAAAATAATTTCTATTTGATTTTTTTTTTAATTTCTATTTTTATATATTATTTTTCATTCACAGAGTTTAGATAGTCCATTAATATGATGTATTTTGAATGAGATTATGTTTTAGGATTTAAACAACAGCATACTTGTATCGTTTGAAAACATGTGTACTCTTTACTCTTTTCTGGTGTTTTTTTCCAACTGACATAGTGACGTGCACTATCCATTATCTATGGAATGTAATAATGTTGAGGAAACACTATATTCTCCATGCGCACGTGTATCCTTGTGGGTTTAATTGTCACCCTCCTTGTGGTCGACGGGACTTACGAAAGTCAGCCAAAACGATTTACGGCTTTTGCGAATTTACGTGACTCCGCACAATTCGTGGTATGAATAATAGCATTTATAAAGTCTTTTTTTTATTCCCTAACATTTTGTTTTCTGTACACAAACAATATTTGTAGGTACATTTTTGGCAGACTAACCAATTATTTATGAATAACAGAACATGATTATAATTATT